ATATGTAAATATATGTAATATATATGTATAATGTAATCTATTGTATATGTAAAATATGATATATGTATATATGTAATTGTATTATATATGTAATATGTATAGTGTCATAGTATATGTATATTGTACTATGTATACATGTATATATTATATATGTAATGTATATGATATGTATATTATGATATGTATAGATGTATATATGTTAAATATGTATATTATAGTATGTTATTAATTGTATATATGTATAATGTATATTATATATTATATGTATTATATATAAGTATAGTATGTATATGTATATTTTATATATATGTATAATGTGTATATGTATATATGTATAGTATTATATGGATATGTATAGTTATATGTATAGTTATAATATGTTATGTATAGTATTATATTGTTATGTATTGTATATATGTATATATATATGTTGTATATATGTATATTGTATATGTATATGTATATACTGTATATATATATGTATATGTATATGTATATATGTATATGTATAATTATAATATGTATATGTATATATTATATATTGTATGTATGTATATGTATATATATGTAATAGTATATATGTATAATATGTTATAATGTATATGTATATATATATGTTATATATGATATTTATATGTATATATATGTATATATGTATAATATATATTGTAATATTATATATATATATATATATATATATTTATATATATTGAAATGAGACGGATAGGTAATTATATTGAATTTTTTTGGCGTGATAATTGTATGATGTTTACCCCAATTTATTTTTATTTCCTCTTGGCAGCTGGATTTGCTCTCTTGCCTTTTATGTGGGCTGTGAATGCTATATGGTTCCTGAAGGAGGCATTTTGGGCAACACCTTATCCTGAGCAGAAGCAGATTCGAAAATGTAAGGATGAAGTTCTCTCATTACTACAGTATTAGCTTGGATATTTTGCATGTGTGTGCGTGGGGCGTGCATTTGTTAATTGGTTTGTTTTAGAATTGACCAAAGTTCTATTATGATGAAATTAATCATAGCATTTCTTTTATTTCCAGATGTCATAGTCTCTGGTATTGGGGCCATTGTGTGGCTCGTTGGATTAATATCTTGGGTGATAATTTTCCAACAGAACCGCAGTAATTGGGGTGCAACAGCTGATTACCTTTCTTTCATTATTCCTAAGGGTATACCCTAGTCTTAGGACAGCTATATGTAAGAAAAATTGATGTTCATTGATGTATTTGTCGACTACCATAATTTTTAGAATATTTTAAACCAGGAATTACTGTTAATGGTGATATATGATATTAATATCAGATCATAAGCTTTATGTCAACATATTGTTAGGATGTCTGGCAAAGGTTCATAAAACTGGGTTATTTAGTTTACATATGATTTGAATTTGTACACAAAACACAAGCTTTGCATTCGTATTAGTGAACATTTTGTAATGATGGCAGTTGGTTAAATGGACGCATGTACAAGGCTGTGTATTTGCCTTGTCTCAGAACTACTTTGACTAATCCATTTTTGAATGATGTATTTTAATTTATTGTTGATTGTATCCTTTGCACCAGAAAGTCATGTAACAGATTATATTACTTACCTTTTTCTAAGTATAACATAACATAAGGTGAAATAAGTTAGTGAAAGAGGCTTTATTATTTGTAAGTAAATCTTTGTTGTATATGTGACTAACTAGAAGTACTTTGCTTTTTGTTATTCATGGTGTGGACATTGTCAAAGGCATATGATAGTCTCCATCATCATCACATTCCTATTCATCAATGCAGAAAGAAATGTGCTACTTTTGTAAATCTTTCATGAATAGTTTTGGAAATTTAAGTAAACTTACTAGGCCAGATCTTGCATATTCCATGATTTTAAATAAAAGTTAATACCAAATTTCCTTTTTTATTTTCACGAACTTCTTGACTTCCAATCTCCTATCAAACAGGAATTCAGGGTGCAAGAAAAATTATAATCTAATTCTGTTAATTAAGATAAGATAAAAGAAAGAAAGAAAAAAAAGGTATGCTTGAATGTTATAAGATACACTCGTCCACAAGAGTTTGCAACCATCCAACCATTATGATGGTTAATGGTTAATGGTTAAAATAAATGTGCTAGACATCTAAGGTCATATAGCACTAACCAACCATTATGATATTATTTGACTGGGTAAAACTAGAAATGCCCAAACATGATAATTGGATACCAAATAATATTACAGTGACTCATCTCACATACAGTGCTAGAGTCTGTTTAACAATTCATACATTGTGATCACACTGAGGGCATAAGTGGGAATGATGTCAGGAGTAGTGAAACAACCATTGAAAAGCCTATGGCAGTGGGTGTGGTAAAATGACATAAACTGAGTCCTGACCTTGGCTGTACCTGTATAGCTGTGTGGATGCAAAGCAGTGTGTACCCTGTAGCAGGCAAAGGCACAGTCCTCTGGGAACTGCTTGATCTGATAACATTGCAGTGAAAGGCCATCTCACTTCTGTCACAATACACTTGTACTCACATGGGCATTGCTCTTTCTTTGTGTAGAAGGACCTTACTGTCTCACTAGGTAGTAAACATGCTACTTAGATGGTTGAGAACTCCTGTGACAGTATTTGCATTACTGTATATGTTGATATTAAGGCAATTTTTTTGGGGGAGAAGAAATAAAACTGGCTTTACTGTATGTTGGCCATTATAAAAGCCTTTTTCATTTAACAAACCTTAAATAAATGAAAAATCATTCTGAAAAATAAACCAGAGCAAATGAAAGATTTTAAACTAATAAAGAATATTAACCTTGTATTGCTGTTAGTAATGAAAATGACATTATGATAATTATAATGCTTATAATTATACTAGTAGTATACTAGTATTGATAGCAATGGTAAAAAAAGTATTTACCTGAAAACTCATGGAAAGGAGGAATCAGGTGAGGTCACAAGGTTCACTGATTGACTTTTTGGTGGATAAGCATTTGTGGAGCCATCAATGTGTAAAAACACTTCACAAAACAGTACAACAATGACAACTGCAATTTTCTGGGAGCATTGGTTAAAAATAGGTAATTGCATTACAAACATCATAAAATCCTAAACTAAAGAGTTTTCCCTAGAAACATGTTTATTAATATAGATCCCACTCAGTATTACCACTTCAAAATTCCTGAGGTATGAAAATGAAAAAATCTCTAGTCCCTACCATCCAACCAGGTATCATCATTGGGAAGGCAACACCAGTAGGGGTGCATAGCCGCATCCACCCTTTGTGTTCATGTATGAGGGTCCTCATAGCGAGCCGCCAGGCAGGTACTTGGCTCATATCAAGCTCTTCACGGTAGGTTTGATTGATATGTCCAAGCCATGCCCTTCTAGGATGTCCCACGAGCCTCTTCCACCCAGGGTTGTCTCAAACAGAGACAACAAGCATGTACTGACTGAACAGGTTCTCCTAGCAGGCCTGCAAAGTCCTGGATCTTGGTCTTGATCTAGGAGACCTCTAGACCCAGGGCTTTGCTTCACTACTAAATGCACCTAGAGCCACTACTAGGGTTTCCAAAGACTCAGCATAGCAACATTGTCAACAAAGTCAAGGTCATTGTGCGACAATGACTCTGGACATTAGCTCTGCAGTGTGATGACTCCATGTTTGATGCAGTCCCATTGATCCCCTTTCCCCCTTCAGAGAAGGATGACCACACCCCTCAGCAGGTCAGGGGGAATGGTACCAGACTGCCAGATGGCAGTCAGGACAGCATGCAAACCTCGCACCTTGGGTTCACTACCAGTCTTTAACAGTTCAGCTGGGATGCTGCAGACAGCCACGGATTTACCACTCTTCAGCTGCATGGAAATTGCTCACTTAACTTCAGTTACGGAGGGTGGATCCTCACTGACGGGTGGGTCTGGCAAAGGAATCTCGACATTACCTGCATCCAAGTTAACTGTTAGTGGATCAACCTAGTACAACTGCTCAAAATACTCACCCCAACAGGATCTGAAGTGATCTGGCCACTTACTGAGCAGAGTGCAGTCGCTTGTGATGAGGGTATGGAGTTCAACATTCTCAAAGCTTGATAGGCAGGGTGAAGATCATTTACTAAGAAATGGCCTTTGACCTCCACTGCTAGACTCCTAATAAACTGCTCCTTGTCCCTTCTCAGCAGTGACTGGGTCCTGCGCACCAGGGAATGATGCAAACCATGATCCCCTGTCAGATGAGCCACTCTCAAGCTTCTGTGGCTTTCAGTATATCCCAAGATAAAATTCTGTCTTGCTCTTAGGCATTCACCAATTGATTCATGAATTGCATCGAGTGTTCCATGCTTGAAGGTGTCCCACAGAAGGCACACTCCCCCTCCCTCAACCTGTTCACATGAAACATTGGGAGTTTTGAAGTGGACTTGGAGGGTAGCCATGACTAATATATGATCAGTGCCATAGAACTTGGCACTCCAATACACCCTGCAGTTCTGGAGGATACTCTGAGTGGTCGATCTCCTTGGCCGTATTACCTGCATCATTGTACCACATCCAATGCTGTGGATCAGAGTGCCAGTACCAAGAGCCAATTTCTGTCAATTTCTGGGATCTTGCAAAGTCCTGGAAAGGGAGGATATTCTAGTAGCCAGCATCAGCTCCTGATCCTTAAGGGCTGACAGACATCTCATAGCCAGCTCAATCGCACATAGATATTGCATTGAAGTCACCCAGAACAATATGAATATCTCATCAAGGAGGACTGTCTGTCACATTACATTACTTTTGTGTCAAGTTCACACACATCTGTAGGAGCACGTGCAATTATCAACTGGAATAACCTCTACTACTGAGGGTTGAAGTCTGCTGGAGATGGCTATGGCTACTCCATGAAGCTGGTGACCATTGCTGTGGCCTGATCAGTAATAGGTGTAGCCACCCACACTGATTGTGCTATTGCTAGGTCTTCTCACCTCTGAGAGTGCAGCCACCTCAACTCTCAGCCACCAGTTCCCCTGATAGTAGTGGAACTGATTATCCTGTTGCAAAGAGTGGACATTACAAACCTCTACCCTGATGTCCTACCTGATTTTAAGCCTTGACAGTTACTTTAGGTGGATGCCACCTCAGCCAATGGTACCCCCATTTAGTGAGAGGTGGCTGGCTGCAGGTCCCATAACCTGTGGTGCCCTGTGGCTCACACTAGGATGGTGGCCACTGGGATGCAGACAGTAACAACAGGTCCCAGTGTGAGTCCCAGAGGTCGTTAACCCAGAGGGACCCACAGCCTACCTTAATTGCTGGGTGGGAGAGAAATTTTCTCTCATTCCAGCATCAACACCTATGCAATTTGCTGCCAGTTAGGTTCTCTCCATTAACCTCAGGGGCCAAAGGGGCAGAGTTAATACAAAGCCAGGGCTTGTCCACACACCGGTGGGCCATGACTCTGCTATCTTCATGGCCTCCTGCTGCTCCAAGAACCTAGTTCAGCTAAGACCACAAAGTATGACAAGGTCTTATTACAGTAACAGGCATACCTTGACATATACACAGCCTGTAACCATTATTCATTACTGCTGTCAGGAAATATGTAGATTTATTGCAATGCAGGTTTTCTCGCAAGTAATTGCATTTTGTAAAGTTTTAATGTTACAGTAGTACTTCACTGCCTGGTAGAGCAACTGCCCCTGGCATTGTTTATGGGGTTCCTTATGATAAGTAGGTTATTTGAGATATAGCTGTTATTTATGAAAATTTATTTATTCATAACCTATTTTTTCTATTGAAAGAAAAGAAAAAAGAAAAAGAAAAGCAAGCAACTGAATGGTCATTTGCACAATAATACATGCTACCATATTACTAAAAATGAGACAACTTGGCTGCACACATGTAGTTTAATTTCTTTTTATTTTCTTTATTTTTTCATATGACCAAGGAATTAATTTCATTCTTTTAAACAATATTTGCGAATATAATGTGCTCTCAGCAGATAACATGAGGAATTCATATGGTATATACAGATATTCCTTCACAGTTTTGCAACACTTTTGCTTCTAGTTGACAAAATATTGAACATTCTGATTGCTGTTTCTTAAGTCATTACTTACAAAAACTATATTTTGATATACTAGCATATATCACTTGAAAGCAGCATTTGCTCATACATCTGTGGATTTTGCGACGGCACCACCTCTCTGTGGTGATAACAAACCAAGTTCTGACGGTGTGTAATCATAAGATGTATCATAACACTGGCACCAATGGCTTGTTCCCTATCCAGCTATGGCAAATTATTATTTTAGTTTATTATTTCAACATGAATTGTATGATCATTTCCCAAGACATTTAGTAATAACTTCACCCGTAAAAATATTTCTCTGCCTTGGGACTTATTTATTTACTTTTGTCTGAGATGTGATGCCTAGGATACTTTTCTCTCATGACATCAATCAGAAGACGATTTTATTCCTTATGCTACTGATTTGGGTATGTCAGACGATGATGAGACATTCCTTATGTTGGGGAATGACAGTAACGGTGAATACTACTGGGGGAAAGGTAGTCACAGTGATATGAGGAGACAAGGGAGAAAGGAGGAAGGGGAAATTAGCAAAGGCACACTATCTGTAACAAGTGGTTCTCACTTATCATCCCTGTTACATACTTCTGTGTATTTTTTTTTTACAAGCTAATATGTCCAGTAATTACTTAAGTAATAGCATATCAGCATAGGATATGGAAACATCACACAAATATTTAATTTCTTTTTCAATAGTCTTATGTGGGGTTTGAGCATACAGCAGTGTATTAAAAAATGGAGAGCGTATAGTTTGGATACAATAATAACATATACACAACCCTACACACTGTGGGAAATAGAGTGTATACATTTGAGGGAGAGCTCAGATAAAGACAGGGTTAAATAATTTAATACTTCATATGTATATGTATATTTCTTCTGAATGAAAATTATACAGTATATCATAAGAATTTAATCCATTTACGGCATCAAATTATGGTTGAACTTAAAATTACACAATAGAAAAATATACCAAAGAAATAGTTTTATCAATTTCGATGAGAAAAGTAATTTTTTTAAAAATTGACATTTACTTGTTGCTGACATTATGTTTGTCCCCTCTTTATGTGTGACCTGATATGATGAGAGGCAACAGTGAAAAGAAATGAATTTCTTGCTTCAGAAACATTACCACTACCAAGGTTTGACCTGTATTTGATGATGAGACCTTCATCTTCTTCTCTTGGCTCAAAGAACTGCTTCAGTGGAATGAACTGTTCTACCTGCTTTGGAGTGAGACGGAAGAAGGTCAGTGCATCAGACATGTCACCCCAGAGTTCCTTACGATATTCAATAGGCCAGTACTGTTGAACGGGGATAAGGAGAAATAGTGCAAAAGTGGAGTCACCATATGACACTGCAAGAAACTGCTCTAGAAGTTCTTTATACCAACTAATGCTAGAATTAAAACCTTCTATAGTAAGCTTTGGGTCAAGCTCAGAATACCCTCCATTACGTAGCAGTTCTATTACTGTACCTTGGAGATAGGAACCTACGTCTGCATCAAGGAAAATATCACTGGCTACAAGGAACACTAGAGAGAGATGCTGCAACCATGAGCTGATGTCAGCAGATTGCAAAATACTCCTTCTTCGGTACTTGATGCCAAGGTATGCCATTTGCAAGCACCTTGTGACAGTCAAAATGTCCTCTGGGGATGACTGGTCACTTGAGAATTTCTTTGGAAGGTCATCAGTTTTTTGAGGTAAAGGTTGTATCCTCGAAGTCTTGTATACATATTTGATTGGTTCAAGTGGCCAACACTTGCCAAGAGCCAATGGTGTCTCTGTCTGATCTATTGTAATGCCATTGGTTGCAAAATGAATACCATTTCTCAAAATCTTGCTGGCCTCATATTCTCTTTTGCTGGCCAAGGTACCTACTAATTCACTGCAAATAGAAACTAAAGAACTGGATATTCTCTCTGTCAACTGCCTTGGTGACAAAATGGGTTGAACTTTTGCCGGGGAGATAAGAGGCTCATAATCATTCAGTGCTAGATTATCAACCTGTGAGCTCATCTCAGATAAATCAGATGTAAATTCTGGAGAACAGATTACATTGCTCAACAACTTTTCTATTAGGTGTTCATCACCTTTCTGAATGCAGGCCATGATGCACATTGCTGTTTCATGAAATATACTGGTTTCAGTACAGCCTTTTAAAGCTGCTAAATGCAAAAGGTTGGAAATCATATGGACCTCCACTCTTGTTAACCAATGTTCTGATAACTGCTGATGAGAACAACATACCTTTTGAAAGTATGAAGAAAGTTCAGGCAAATTCAAGAATTTGGTTCCTTGTGCATCCAGGAATGGATGGAGGGAATGAAGGATAACTAAAAGAGATGATAATGGAAGGAGTAGAGGAAATGGAGATGTAATTTGCACAACAGGTACAATTTTTCCTCCATGTGTCACACAACCAAGAGAACCAAGGTTGACTGGGTCTCGTTTTGTACCAACCTGATAGTCACAGATAAAAGATGAATGTTTAGAAAGGCTGCTCACTAAATTGCTAAAACAAGTAGAATTTAGGAAGGGAAGAATCACTTCATCATGCAATTTTTGAAGCTTTTGATTACACATCTCTCCACTGTATGAACTCTGATCTTTCCATTTCAAATAGTAGGCATCTAAGAAACTGCAGCAACTGCCCAACAGACGGAGTGCTGAGAAACTTGTTTGTCCAGATCGTTCAAGCTGAACCAGCCACTTCTTCAGACATGTCTCTATCAGCTGTGGGATATCACTGAGGTCATCCCAGGAAAGAGATGGAGGAGGCAAAACTTCTGCCTTTCCACTGGCTCCTATGACTGTCCCCTGGTTCAGCTTCATTCTACTACTGAGCAAAGATTGTGAAGCAGCCACATTCACAGCACGGGTCAGAGTATTGATCAGCTGTGCACCAACATCATAGTTGAATTTATTCTTCTCAGTCTCTTCATTGATGGGAACTTTATCTCTGTAGAACACTAATTGTTTCACAATGAGTGGATAGAAGTTAGCAATGGCTTCCTCTGCTTTTGACAGTCCATATGCCAAAAGAGTGGCCCATGTGGCATATGCTTCCTGACTGAGGGAAAGAGCTTCTTGGAGGGGTATGCCCACCTCACTGGGCTCCAGGGATACATAGGTGAGGATCCGTCCCATCACATCATGGGTATTGACCAGGACTGCTGCCAACTGACGACCTCTTGCTGCTAAGACCTATAATATATGTAAAATTCAGTTAGAAATTTAATTTGGAATATATGCTAGTCTGCAAACAATGATACTACATAAAAGGACATGCCAAAGGAAAATTTGTAAAAAAAAAAAAAAAAAGTAACAGCATTTCACTAACTGTAAAGAAATATTTTAAGATGAATGTTGAAAATTAGCTTTTACCCTTAAGAGACGAAGAGCCTGTTTGAGAGGGACCCCATATACAGATGACATTGAAGAGACATTTTCACCAGTGAGCAATGGAGACAAGTTGTGTGGGAGGAAATTGTCCAGTATCACTGACAGAAGGCGGGGAGTCTGGACCAATTTCCATGCAGCTGTGAGTGAGTGGCGGACGACTCGAGTCATGATGCCTAGTGTGTAGATTACTGTGTCTGGATTTGGCTTAACAGTCTCTAGGATGTACCTAAGAGAATGGATGAATTTTGTTAGTTTTTATTTTTCTTCATCATGCAGATTTTACATTTTTAGTCTTCCACAACTTATACTATACATAATTCAAAGCTCAGAAATTATGAGAACTCCTTGCCTTGTGGAATGGTAAAGGTCCATATTACTTCAAAGTTAATCCCCAAATAATGTTTTTCCAAGGCAGGAAAAGAAAGAAAGAAAGAAAGAGAGGGAAAAAAAAAAAAAAAAAAAAAAAAAAAAAAAAAAAAAAAAAAAAAAAAAAAAAAGTGCCACTACAATCTCTCTTGTCCATAAATATCCATTTTTTTGGTATACAAAATAACATTTGATATGTAAGGTAACAACATTAACTACATCATGTATGTCCTAGATCAAATTAAATGTACAATATTAGTTACCTAAGTAATTATGCTTCAGAAGCAGTTCCATGATTTTTTAATAGAGCATACCAATGTTAAAATTAGACACAAAGTAAAAGGTAGAGAAAAATAAATTTAATGAGAAAAAGAGGACAAGAAAAAGAAGAAGAAGAAGAAGAAAAAATCATACCTGAGCCTGATGTGGGTGTCCATCCTGATAAGAGCCCGGATAACATCAAGTTTAATCACCTCAATGTCCTTCAGTTCCTTCTCTTCTTCATCCAATTCTTTGCGAGACTAAAAATTCATACAACACAAAACACAGTTACTTTTCAAAGTATAAATAATATATATATATATATATATATATATATATATATATATATATATATATATATATATATATATATATATATCTTTATACCAATTATCAATTTATTCTTCTCAAGAAACAATCAAAGCAATTGGTCATATATTTGAATATCGTCTTTTCTTCTAGAATATTCACCACAAACAAGGAAAGTTTTAAAGCTAATCACACAGATTCTGGTTTAAAAACTTACATTAATTCCAACCAAATCTGGAAGAAAAACCTCTACTGTATGTCTACCTTAACAAAATAGTTACTCTCTTTTTCTCTTACCTTCTCACTTGCATGGATATTACTAGACACCCCTGGTTCAAGGCCAGCAGGAGCCCAAGGCTGGGCCATGGCCAGGCAATGCTCATCTGGTTCACTGGATAAAAGGTAATAGAGGCCCCGTACAGCTTCCCCATACACATGATGTGAAGATTCATCGAGGGCGAAGCGGAGAAGGAGTACTACACCTGCCTCTACCTGAAGTGTTGTGAAAAGTGTTATAACCAGATTTTACAATATTGTTAAACATCCTAAGTCAAACAACTTATGTATCTTTGGCAAAATAATAATACAGTCTTCTGGGATTCAAAAAGGTCATTGATAATACCTAAATTTCTGTACTATATTTTTTATAAATAAAGATTACTGTTTTTCATGCAACTAAGAATTCTTTACGCAGTTATGAGGACAACAATAAAAATTACGAAGCTACCAGGATACACACTCACCATTAATTGTATAATTGGAGGATTCACAGCTGTGTCATATAGGCCTTCTTTTGCATTCCTCAGTATATTGGCCAGAGTGCGCAGGCCTATGTGTCGTTGCTGCAACACTTTAGAGCGGATAAGTATGAAGAGCTCATCAAGGGTGTATCCAGCACGTCCTGAAATAAGGAAAATGACGTTTCATGAATACTATTGATGAATAGTATTATAGTTTCATGATCACTTTTCTGATAAAATAAAAGAAAGGAAAGAAAAGAGAAAGAGAGAAAGAAAGAAAGAAAGAAAGAGAGAAAGAGAGAAAGAGAGAAAGAGAGAGAACTACTGTAATTGAATACGATGTTCCCTGTGTGTATGCCATTCCCCTGCCGTTTCACATGGACATTTGTTGAAAATTTGTTCTAAATAAAATGTAAATAATGTCATCCAAAAGATTATCCTTCTTGCACTTCAGTTTGGAACTGTGAAATAATTGTATCTAAAAGGTTATCTCATTCATAATTCACCACAAAATGTTTTAGAAATATATGAATGTGAAAGTACATAGAAATTGTCAGTACAATGATAAAATGTTACATCAAACACAGGATGGCCCAGAACCCTTAAATATGAATGGTGCTCAACTGTTTGGTCATGTTTTGAAAAACTTCAGGATAAAACAGTCATCTGAGTGCTGCAGTTGATTTCTGAAGTGGTTGGAAATGTTAGCACTTTCTCTACAAAATAGTGAAATGCCATTTGGCAATGAAGTAACATCAAATAATATGTTTTTGTCAAACAGGTTTAATATGGAAGTGTCTGGATGTGGCACTTCAAAATGTCAAATATTTTCCCTACCTGGTTCTTCTCCATGATGGTGCAATGCTTCGCGGTATGAAACATCTGCATCATAAGGCAAAATGTCACCGTCAAAGTTGAATCTTGCAACAAACCCTTCATTATTCTTTAGTGGCTTTGGCTTAGGCATATCTGTCATCCACTTGAGCTTCTCTAAATCAACCTGCAAGAAACCAAATGAGTGAGGACTAATTCTTAAAAAGACAGGCTATTGAGTGCTTTTCAGTTAAATTCATATCAAATTTCTTCATGACAATAAAATCATAATTTTGTAATGAAGTTATGAAAGAGGAGGTCCATCCCTAAGATAAAAGCAAATAGCAAAAGAATAATAAATAAGATGGGTGAAAATATAACAAATGTAAGAAGTTAAAAACTAAATAATCAAACAAATATATAAAACTCCTAAAAGCAAATGTACTTGATAAAGAGAACTTGTCATTTCCTTATGCTTTTTATTCCATTAACTTACCACATAAGCAGATATCAAAATACTACTCATATGAATTTCTGGCATTAATCTCCAGTCATAACAGATGTATATTACCATAATCTATTATTAGAGAAAGAACTTTTATAACCTTTACTATTTGTTTCCTAATCATCCTTATTACAATTAACATTATCACTACTACTCTTGTTAAATTCTCATTATCATATGACTGTCTTCATCCCTATAACTGCTACAAAATTTTCATACATCTTAATACTGTTCTTGTACCTATGCTTAGCATTTATATGAATCAGAGAGACAGCTAGGAGTTGAAAGGGCCTCTATGTGTTTAAATATGTAAGACATTCATACACTGTTTAGGTAACCTGTCATATATAATGGATATTTTTTTGTCCCTTTTCAGCTCCAGTTAATAGATGCAATAAATCCTTTCAGAAATTTGTGAAAGATCTTTAGATATTACAGCATATTCATTCACTAACTTTATCCATGTGGATCCACTTCTTAGCTTCAGATGGGGGTATGGGGAGCTCATTCTCGTTGATAGTGGAATCATCAGGAACTGAACTTGTTGATGTTCCCTCGGTCTCCATCTCCACATCCTCCGAAAACCTCACTTTCCGCAATTCCTCTCCCTTGTATGCACTGCTTGGAGGTGTGGGAGATGCAAGTGGCTTTGTTCTTGCTTTTCCTGAAGCTTCACAGTCCATGGGTTCACTTTCTGTTTGCTGCAACTTCAACATTTCCTTTTTCTTTCTCAATGATTGTAAGAAGTTTAGCTCCTTAGGGCCTAAGCTGGCCATCAGTTCCTGCTGAGCTTTTAGGCGCTCATCATGTGACATGCTAGCAATTTTGTTGATGTTTTCATTGTGAATCTTCTGTGCTTCTGAGATATCTCCTTGAATGATGTAACTTTGCTGTCCTGTTGAAAATGAAAATAGCAAATAATATAATAATAATAATTATAATAAAACTTTTAAATTCTTACTTGTTAAAGCTCTACCCTTGATAAACAAAATATCCACTCCTTTAACTTTAAAGTTTCTAGTAAATGAGTATTTTACAAAAATAAACTTCTACTTTAATAAGCAAAATACTAGAATATTAAGAATATGCAGCCACCCCCTCCCCTCAAAAGAAGATGAAGAAGATGAGAGTAATAACTACATCATAATGACCTTACCCAGCGCAGAAATTCTTGGATCTTCCACGTTTGAAGATGAAACTACAGGGCTAGCTGAAGGGGACGCTCCTGCCTCTTGATTGCCTTGCTTCTTTATGGCACCTTTTCCCTCCAATTCCTGCATGTAGAGGGACTTCTTTCTGGATCCAGTGAGGAGATTTGGGTCTGAAGAAAGGGTTCCATGTTTCTATAGAAGAGAAAGAATATAAGTAGCTTGATCTCATTTCAAAAAGTGCTCATTAATCAGCTGACACCTGGAGAGCATGTATATATGCTCTTTCCACTCTGCTTTAATTAAATTTTTTATATACAGATTGCTCCAGAAGTGCTGAGTCATCGGATAGTATGCTACAATGTCCACTTTTACCTGGTTACCTTATTCCTTAAATTTCCAGGTAAAAGGGGTTTTATATACATCACTATTATTATTGCTAATAATGCTACAATAATGATAAATAAAAAACAGTAACAGAAAAAAAAAATGTGTGGTCGGGTAGCTCTAATATCTGATTCCTTGGTGACAAAGCACTTGAAAAGCTATTTCTGTGTAAACTAAGCTCAAAAACAAAACTACAATGAACAATACATGTATCTGGCACCAACTGGTTAAAAATAATCTTGTAGTATGAAATGATTTCCAAGATTGTACATGATTTACTTATATACATTAGGTAAAAGGAATTTTTAATCTATTCCAAATTTCTACTACTAAACAATCACATACACCTTGAAGCAAGGTCGAAAAACTGAACCCAATGAAAGCAAATATAAATGGCACAAGAGAAACAGCTTAACCAATACTCTGATGGTACATTCTTCATTCAATATATACCAATAAATTTTTTTACAGCATGTTAGGAGAAAAGCATTTATTGTACATAGGTAATCATAATACTTTAATACTTGCATACAACATTTACTAGAACATAGGTAATTGTAAAGCAAACACACAACACTTCATCTTACTTACTAAGTTTGAAAGCTGGTGTGCTTTTGGGAAGCCATGGGGATTTGCTTCTGGTTTCCAGTCCTCAAGACTTACATTAGGGGGTACAACTCTCTCCACAATGCGGCCCAAAACTGCAACTCTCTCCTCTCTTGATGCTGCAGAGTAAAGACAGGGAAATATTGATCCGTCAGAATATCTATAAGCTTTTTTATATCCAAGGGAGAGAGGGAGAGGGAAAGAGTGAGAGAGGGAAACAGAGAGGGAGGGGGGAGGAGAGAGGAGGGAGGGAGAGGGAAGAGTGAGAGAGGGGAGGGAGGGAGGGAGGAGGGAGGGAGAGAGAGGGAGGGAGAGAGAAGGGGAGGAGGAGAGAAGAGGGAGAGAGAGGGGAGGGGAGAGAGAGAGAGGGGGAGGGAGAGAGAGAGAAGGGGAAGGAGGGAGGGAGAGGAGGGGGAGAAGGAGAGGGGAGGGAGGGAGAGAGATAAGTATAGGGAGGGAGAAAGAGAGCGAGAGAGGGAGAGGGGAGGGGAGGAGGTGGGAGGGAGGGGAGGGGAGAGAGAGAGAGGAGGGGGGGGAGGGGGAGAGAGATAGTGGAGAGAATGGGAAAATGAGGCACATGGAAAAAGTATAAAAATCCTCAAGTTAAAAATTTGGTCTCCTTGACAATATTTTTGCCTGCCTACCTGCTTCTTTCAGGACAGTGTTGTCGACTATTCCCTCCTTTTTCTTCTTGTTGGCACGCTCCCTTGCAAACTTGGACTGTGGTTTTTGTGGTTCTTGAAAGAAAAATTGGAAAAGGACATTTGATATATGTAGGACTTACAGACAACTGCTCTACAATTTAAAATAGATCATGAAGACACACACACACACACACACACACATGCACGCACATGCACCAATCCACACATATGTATGCACACACACACACACACAGATTATGAATATACATCATCATCATATTCATAATAATCAAGAAAATAAATAAATGAAATAAATAAATGGAAAAAAAAAAAAAAAAAAATAAACAAAGAAATCAATGGCTCTCACTGACAACATTCCATACCAGTCTTTTTTTCATCCTCCTCCTCAGTTTTTCTTTTATTGACAGATACTACTGTAGCCGCAGGACGGGAGTTTGCACGTGCTAAAAATTCTTCTTCTTGGCGCAGGAGATCCTCATCCGTTTCTCCCCTTTTGGGACGCTGGATCATCTTGCCTTCCTAGATCAGCAAGATAAAACTAGACACATTAGGCGTATGTATGGGTTACTGTTATACAATTTGAACTGAAGTATAACATATATATGTGTGTGTGTGTGTGTGTGTGTGTGTGTGTGTGTGTGTGTGTGTGTGTGTGTGTGTGTGTGTGTGTGTGTGTGTGTGTGACACTTTCATTCAATCACTTACTTACTTTTACTAACTCACTCACACAAACACACACATGTACACACACTCTCACACTCTCACACACACACACACACACACGATTTTAAAATTAAAAATCTATTTCCATATTTCAAAAAAATAATGATAAAAACCTCTCATTTTAGAGGGTACTTCATTTCATTGGCAATTAATATTTAAATGAACTTAATTATCATAAATATAAATTAGTATTTAAAAATCAAAATCTTGATATTTAAACCCCTATCCTTTCTTAAACCAGTGGCTCAAGATGGTAAAAATATATGGTATGTGTACTGGAATTTTAGATTATCAGCTGTGGGCCTATCAGTATTGAGATTACAATTATTAGTCTACCAATCGACTGTTTATGCTTTTCCTTGATTTCTGGAAAGATTTTTTTTTTCATCCTTCTATTATTTCTATTCCTGTTATTATTCTATTACCCTTATAATAAACATATCAGAATGATAATAATGGTACAAATATCCAATATAATTTAAAAATATTTTTTTCTGTAAATTCAAGGAATTGGGAAATCATGGGCAGTGTTCATGAAGGTCATACTTCAAAATCATTCTTTGGCAGAAAAAAAAAGAAAAAGAAAAGTAAATAAAATAAAATAAAATAAGAGAAGAATAAAAAAATCTGATTTTGTCTGTGACTCCTCACAAAAATGTGCTTACCATCTGACATCTGCTTATACTTCGGCTGAAATTTAAGACAGGTCTAGGGTTGTCCCATATACAGAATTGTCTTTAAATTGTCCTTAAGTGATGCCAAAAACAATACAATAATTTCATCCTATCATTACAATGCATTATTATTATTACAAGGTCTTTTAAGATGTAAATATTAGTACCAGTTAAGTGTTAACTTCAAAATGTGGCAAGAGAGTGAGTCAAAGACAAAACTGTTAGGGACAGTCTTTAAAATGAGTCACAGATAAACTTTATGACAATCTTAAGTCAAAAACTATTTTTAGGACAATCTTTAAATTTGTCAAAGAAAATTCTATGACCTGTAATCAATACTGCCCTAGACTTTTTGGTATCTGAGTACTTGTAGAGCCGTCCATGTGCAACAAAATTTACAGAAAACTTCAGTAATCAGTACCTAAACCTGGAGCAAAGAGGTTAAGATAAACCTTATGGTAAAATTACAATTTTCAACTTAACTTACTAACAGCATACTTTAAAAAATACACGGAATTGAGTTGAATAAATAAGAGGAAACAAAAAATCTCTGTGTGACATTGACTTATAAGAAGTATCACTAATAGCTGTCATGACAATGGCACAGTTCAAAAGATTGCCATGGCCTTCCCACCTTTGATACTGTGGCAAAGCCAAACAAACACTTACAGTATTATTGGAAATAACACGTAACACCAAAACTGAAAAATCTGAAATTGCAACATGATCAAATGTAACTTTCTCAGACACTTTCCTTCTATAGCATCTTCTTTGCAAACTGATAATTAGGGTAGAAAAGGGGACATAAAGCTCAATTTTTCCAGGTGCTCCATGATACTGATTTTCCCAGCAGCCAGAGAAAATGACATGAAATGAAGGAGGCAACAAAATAATCAGATAGAATTGAAGCAGATGATGTAAGCAAGGGAAATCAATGGGAACTGTGCATGGCCGTGACATAACCAGACACTAGCGACCAGTCTATTAGAGCCAAAAAGATCTGTAATAGATAATTATGTGACCATGCAATGGGAAGCCAGTTGAAATTCAATTGATTATTTTGGCTAGGGTGCATAAGATGTGCTGTTTCACCTTTAATATACAAACTGTGTTGATATTAATGAAAATTTAAGCATCTTTACATTGATATTTTAACCTGGCTTCTTATTTGCAGATAAATACCAAAAAAAATCTTTAAGCTCTACCTTGCTGGAAGATATGGGGTAGAGATTTTCTGAACTTACCAAAGTAAAGGTGGTGTCACACTAGCACAATTTCCGTTGTTCTTTGACGTTTCCGTGTTTTTTTTCTCACTACCGCTTGTATTTTGGGTGAATGCGATAAATTCCAGTCAAACCATAATTATCGTTTTCGCTTGCAAGTTTCCGTCATCTTTTTCGTTCAAATGATAAGCTATAATAGATAATTGTTATAGTAATGTAAAAAAAAAAAAGTATTTATAATATAAAATGATTCAAAAAGACAGTCTAAACTGTAAATAATATTTTAAAATTAGGAAAATTCCCTCTTGTATTTAATAAAAACAGATACAAGTTTGTAACTAGCTGCTCGCCTGTTTGTTTACATTTGTCCCTGTCAGATGACTAGAAGAGAGTAGCGAGAATACGCCCTTATTTAACCTTATACATTCGTTGTTTCGCATTAAATCGTCGCCACATAGCCAGAATAACATCCATCATCGCCAGAGCCTGTGCGGGGGTTGAAACCATCTTTCTGTGTTTAGAATTTTGGTCGGACTGCCAAAATGACCACGATTTCCGTGGTGCCAGCGGAAAAGTAATGTGGAAAAAGTGCTAGTGTGACACGGCCTTAAGTGTTACCAATAGCGCACCATACGAATTACAAATAACTGTGAAATTAATCTGCTGATCTGTGTAAGCTATTCTTATCTTATTCAAATTTGCTGATTTCTACTGGCCATTCTCTTTGGAAATTTTTCCACTGTTTAAGATGATTACCTAATGGTAAACCAGGTATTTCTACACAAAAGCTCAGTGTTGGTGAAAAGAATAGCTTTTGCAATGGCCTCTGCACCTGTCGCCACTCTGCAAAAGGCCAACATACTCTACTATACCTATATCTATATATAAACAATTGAACAAAAGATGCTTTATAATCAATCTTTGTGAAATTCATAATTTTTATAAGATATCTATTCCTCCTTTACCGGGAGTTTCATACACGACAACCTATTATTATCTTGGCAAAAATTACATGAAACAAGATATCGTCAGCAGTGAAATCCGCTCATCAATGCAAATTCACATTTAAAAACCCAATAACGACAAAATAATTACCTTTATCTACTTTAATGACTGTAGTATGATCACACAATTGTCACAAACGTAACCTATCCACACGCTTGTTGTGGGTCGCTTACAACAGTATTATGACATGTGCTTTCCGACTGTTCTCGCGAATGAATTGGTGTTTTTTTCATTCGTCTGTCTATAGAAAAATAGATGATTAAAGGGTAGTTATTTACTCTATCGCTGGAGTTGATGGCATTCGTGTGATTTTGATGTAGATGTTAAGATATGACGTAATTTTCTCTTGAAGCCAGGAGTAAGATATTGTGTAATATAAACTGTTATAAATTTCTTACTTTTGGATATAGTTAATTGAATAGTGTTCAAGAAAAGATTTACGATATTTTGTGAATAATTGCATTAAAAAATCGATTTAGTCACTGAAACACTTTTAGTCATTATGGCCATAGCCCCAATGCCCCCCATACCCCCCTTTCTGTCCATTACTTTGTTTTACTTTCCTTCCACCTCTCTCATTCTCTCTCACTCTGTTTTGATAGAGACAGAGAAAAGTAGATTGATAAACAGACCCGCAGATATACAGATAGATTGATAAACAAGAGGTATAGTGTGATATGTATAGATGGATACATGAGAAGAGAGAGAGAGAGAGAGAGAGAGAGAGAGAGAGAGAGAGAGAGAGAGAGAGAGAGAGAGAGAGAGAGAGAGAGAGAGAGAGAGAGAGAGAGAGAGAGAGAGAGAGAGAGAGAGAGAGAGGAATACATTGTAGTCATATCATATGGACGCCCGTGGTAAAACATCAGTATGCCGCTTGTCCGTCCCAAGACTCCTCACTTTTGATACCTTTTTTAATGTAAATAATTATTCTGTCATATAAATACTGATTTAAACCCCGATCCATCATGCATCAGAGACGCTAAAGTGGCGTCCAGACCAAAATACAATGTTGTGCAATACAGAACTAGTTACTCAAGAAATCGAAAAATGTCTCGCATCTTTTGCGAGACATGGTTTCAATACCAGCCTCCAGACCAAAATAATGTTGCTCAACAATCCCACAACAAAGTATCTGAATTAAAAGGAAAATTATCTATGTATGTATATATATATATATATATATATATATATATATATATATATATATATATATATATATATATATATATATATATATATATATATATATAGTGCACACACACACACACACATACATATATATATATATATATATATATATATATATATATATATATATATATATATATATATATATATATATATATATATATATATATATATCGTTCCGAGATATGATTTTGCATGTCTGTGTGTTTCACCGGCTCCCTCGTCTATCTCCACTCACCTTATCAGCATCCAGCCACACCTGTGGGAACTTACAACCACTCCCTTAACAGACACTAGTAAAATAGATGCAACTCATCTGTCATAATAGGAAACACGATGCATGTTGCGGGGAACACGACTCGTCATCACTGGTCAGTCGTCTGCTGACTTGTGCCGGTTTGTGAGGTTGTGAATAGTATGAGATATTACACAAATTACATGTGCCGTGGAATTTATGGATTCTGCATTGTGCTGACACGTGAAATCACATTATACTGCAGACTAGTCACGACATAAATAAGGCGTTGCACTAGCAGGAGAGAGGTAAAAGCCTGATAAAATAGAAAGTAAGGGATGCATTGACTTACATAGCTTATAATTAATATATAAAAATATATATTAGAATCATAAAGAAATAAAAAGATCGTTGCCTATCACACACCTGTCCTGACTTATTCAACTTTGTGCCACCAGAAGCCCCGTATTTTGTATTTTGAAAGTAATCGGTACATGATGCCAATAAGCAATTAATTTTGAATTGATGTGCCCTCAGTTTATTCAGTCACTGTATTTATACCGTTTTTACTATTAAATGGTGCAGCTGCCATGGAACTTGTGACCATATACAATTCTCATTTTCTCAAACTCCAATATAACATAGGAAATCATATGGTCATAGACACCATTAAGTAGTTCTTGTGGCAGAATAAAGTCAGAGCATGTTAACTGTGTCATCTACTTCTTGACATAACATAAGATGTAATTTGAAACTACAAATACGAAGCTCCTAACGACATTAAGCTATGTGTCATGGCAGCTGTTTGCCTGGTTACTCATTTTCTGACAACCCTTGGCTGTGACTCAGTACAGGTAAGTGATGAATTACTAATATTTTTTTTCTGACAGAATTAAGCTATGTGAGTGATTGTTCGTGTTTTGCTCCCAAGCCTTCAGTTAATGTAGACTATATTTTTCCAGGTTCAAAGTATGGAGAACAGAAAAGATTAGATTAATTGAGGTATTACATTTCACTCTCAGTTTGTGGGATAAGTGCAGCTTGGTCTGGACGTTCGGCAATGCGTTAGAGTTGCCCAAGCGTCGCGCAGCAGTCGCTGGACAAAGTTGCTGTGTTTCGTGCTGCTCAGTTGTTGAGCAACTATATCACGACAGTACAGAGACGCTGTTGTGCAACTGTTTAGATGCAATGTATCTTGGTCTGGACTAAGCTTGAAACAGACAGGCAGGTTATATAAACAGCCAGAAAAATAGGCCGACAAACAAATAGAAAGACAGGCAGATAAGCGATTGGCAGAGACAGACATAAAAGCAAATGATTGATTAAAACACAGATAACTTTCCTCTGTTTTTGTTGCGACAATCAATATATTGAACCAAACAAAAGTAAACAATGAGAGAGAGAGAGAGAGAGAGAGAGAGAGAGAGAGAGAGAGAGAGAGAGAGAGAGAGAGAGAGAGAGAGAGAGAGAGAGAGAGAGAGAGAGAGAGCGGGAGGATTTTACCCAGACAGTCGAAGATGATATATGAATTCAGCTACAAAGATGGCAGGATGGAGTAAGATGTATATATATATACGTTTATGTGCGTATGTCGCCTTACATGTATTCATGTACAACGCATACTCTCACGTGCGTTTGTTTTTGTTTATGTGTGAACCATCTTGCGGCCGTGTACCTAGAATACTGCATACATTCATCTTGACCAGTATGAGCTAAACTAAGGTGGCGAAGCTGGAGACGCGCGCATATGCTATATTTGCACCATTAACATTCTGTCTCACATTAATTTCACATACATACATACATATTGTTACTGTCCCACTGGGTTCGGTGAGCAGCCTTTGACGAGTGTTTTGGCACTCAGGGCATTGAATGAAGTTGGCGGGGTGAAGGACACACAGGTAGCAATCCACGGTTTATTGGCGTGCCACAAAGTTTATTTACAGGAACTTCTCTCCAAGGAAAGACGGTCACCTCACATACACACGCACAGCTTAATCACCTTAATTCCGTCTATGTGTCCTCCTAAGATAGAGCAGCACAATCGAGAGCGCAGCTACCGTCACGGACCGTCCTCGCTCTACCAGATCTCTTCTCGAACAGCCCGCCACTCCCCTCTCGGAGCCAATCACGACGCCGGATTCTCGTCCCGCCTTGCAGGCAGCCAATCACGCAACGGCGCGTTTTTGGCGAGCTTTTCGGCGAGCATACACTTATTTTGGCGGGCTTTTTCATCGCCACGAACACAAACGCACTTACATTATTATAGTACATTTTTTGTAAGAATATATATATATATATATATATATATATATATATATATATATATATATATGTGTGTGTGTGTGTGTGTGTGTGTGTGTGTGTGTGTGTGTGTGTGTGTGTGTGTGTGTGTGTGTGTGTTGTGTTGGTGTGTGTTGTTTGTGTGTGTTTGTGTGTGCGTGCGTATGTGTGTGTGTGTGTGTATTTGTGTGCGTGTGTGTGTGTGTGTGTATTTGTGTGTGTATTTGTGTATGTGTGTGTGTGTATCTGTGTGTATGTGTGTGTGTGTGTATGTGTGTATGTGTGTGTTCGTGTGTGTGTTTGTGTTTGTGTGTATGTGTGTTCGTGTGAGCACATGTACACACTCATATATGATTTCCCCTACAAAGATATTTTTAGTTATAATTATTTTATTAAATAGAAAAAAAAGATAACGCGTTTCATAACAATGATCGTTTTGCTTTAACATTTCAAGTTTAAAGGTTGAAAATTCCATAAGTGGAACCTTTTATTTACTTTCGACGTATTTTCTTGCTAGGCTCTTCGAACTAATATCCTCTGATATCCCTTTATTCTTGCATCTGGGAGATCACAAGGATGCTTCTTTTTACTGACCCACTAATTTTGAAATACTGATTAAAGAATAAAGAAATACTCGTTGTTTGAAAAGTGGGTTATCTTCCAATAAAAGAATCTGTTCTTCATTATTTACGTCGAGTGTGTCCAATTTAATTTCTGAGTAGATGGGACATATCAAAGGCAGTACAAAGATCGTTTTAAAATTTCGATTTCACTCTTTTCTGTTAATTACTCAAAATTCAGAATTTTTAAAGGAAAAAAATGGATTGTAACCTGTGGCAAATTTACAAGATGTATGTTCCACTATATTTCTTACGTCCTATCTGCCTTTGTTTTCATAAATATTGCAATTTCCGCTTCCAGTTCTTAGAATTAAACAACAGTATCAGAAGATATCTTAATGATGTGCTTCCCCCTATTATAAGATTCCGTAGTTTGCATACTGCAGCTCAAGCATCTTTTCTCTCTTTTCGAATCTTTTTAATGTATTTCTAAAAAATATTTTCGATGAAATGTAGATGTTCTGCGTAAGTAATAATCGGGAATTTTTTGAAGGCGATAGTAAATAATATTCGCAGGGCGCTTGGTCGAAGTATGTCAGGGTGCTCTGAGAAAAAGGTAAAGAAGGCTGGAAAATAGGAATAGGAAAAAACAGAAAGAAAAGAATGAGAACAAGAGGAAGAAGGAACAAAAGGCAAACAGGAAATGAATAGATGAATAAAAAGAAGCAGACGAAAAACCTTAAAAAGGAAGTGAAGCTGACGACGAAAAGACGAAGACGAAGAAAACGGAAAAGGCTGAGGAAACGACGACGGAGACGAGGTGAAGAAAACGACAACAACAACGAGCATTACAAAGAGCTTCAATGGAGGTAGAGGGACAGGAAAAAAGAATAAAAACGAAAAAAATAAAACGGGCAAATGAAAACGAAAAGAAGAAAACGGGCAAATGAAAACGAAAGTATTTCTAAGAGGGCTTGTGTTCTATAATCCACTTAATCATTTCTAGGAAGTGGTTACTGGATACCTAATGAAAATTAGTAATTTCAGTTTATATGCACTTGGATTCTGATGTTATTGTTGGTTTGTGCGTTTTGGTTTCTTTCTTAGAGATTCGATTTCTCCAAAAAAAAAAAAAAACGTAATTTGCATTCCCTCCGTTGTATTCCTCTGAAGCCATTACGACAAATTCTTAAGTACGGAAAAGGAAACAACTACTTTGATATAAAGCTACCTACTAACGTTAGAAGAACTACAGTATAAACGCAAATTCTCACCTTGATCAATTACATTTTACAGCATCTTTCCTTTCGTATTAGTCCTCCAAATATTCAGTTAAAGATGTATAGTCATACGATATAACCATATACAGCCATACAATATAACAACGTAAGCAATATCATAACAATATAAAATAAAATATAAACAAGCATAATATATAAGAATATAAACAATGTAACGATAAAAAACAAACACAATATAAACTTAAACAAGAACACAATATACTGTAGGACAAGAGAAAACACTAAGTAGCTTTACAGGATTGTAATTTGAGAAAATGGATACAGGAATATGTGTCCTTAATACGTAAGGACTTTAAACAATACACGATATTTTGTAATTACTCTTACAAAAAATTAAGAAGAAAAATACAGTGAAATATCATTAATACAATATTTTCACATGAGGAAGGAAGACATCAATGCTATTGCCAAACCACAAGCAATGAATTTACTCGGGAGCTGACAGGCAGTGCTTACTATAATTTATTTTAATTGTCTTTCCCGAGGCTGAAGTTTTCCTACAATTCAGTAAAGATTTTTTTGGCCTTAATAGCTGAATTTAGCCGTGGTGTAACAATTTATAGGATTTATTAAGTATTTAGGAGAATGGACACACAATCTAAAACGTTTGATATCAATTTTGATAGAAAATTGGATATTATTTTATATTACAAGAAGCCTATTGAAATAAAACAAGTACATTTATATTTAATTGAATATGAATAAAAGTAGGTATGATCAGTACCTAGGCATATACGATTAAATACTTAGGTTGTTGGGACGTTTAAATACATTCTTTATCAGTCTAGTCTTAGAAAATAATAAACAGTTCAGAATTACACGCACATATCAATTCAAATCGCAATTATCTATTTTTCTTCATTCAGATGGACGGATATAGTAATAATCATCGAACATGTTTACAAAATAAGTCACAATTATTTGATATCACAGAGCAGCGCCACGCCTCTGAGAGTCCAGTGGGAAGGAGGGAAGTCCATGGTCTCCAAGTCTATTGATCCTATGTAAGTGGCATCAGTGCGTTGTGGTTTCCTGTATATGGGGCATTCATAGAGGTTCGGATCCTTTCCGCTCGTGGTATTGACGGCGTATAAGTAGATCACTGGCATTGGTTCGTACAGTACCTGCAATGGAGAAAGTAGGGAAAGGAGACACTAGATATAATTTTGTACATGCCTAGTCATAAAAAAGTTGACTTCACCTTAAATGTTAATACTAACTAATTCTAAGAAATGAGAAAATAGAAGGTAGTTGGGGAAGGAAACACTAAAATACATATACATATGCACATTAAAGTTAAAATAAAACACGGGAAATTAAAGTAGAATCAATCAACAATAAATCATACCAACAAGTTCTGAGAAAAAAGGCCTCACCTTTGCTCTCGATTCCATAAGTTTCCCTTGCTTTCGGTCCCAAGACGCGCCCTCCAAGAACAGGCCATAGACATACACGCCTTCGGGAGGTGGCTCGTGTATGTCTTCGCGGTTGAAACGTGTTACGAGATTCTGCAGGATGACGCAATCCAGCGACCATCCCTTGTGTTGGCGCGTCACCTCCTGTAATGCAGTTTAGTTTATGGCATTTTTCGTAAATATTGTCCTTATCATTATCAATATATTATAACCACTGCTATCATCGCTGTCATTAACATTACCGTTATCAGTAATAATTATCATCGTTAACATCAGGATTGCTAACATCACTATCAGAATAAAAACACACACACAAAATAGAACAAGACATAATAACAACAAAGAATTAAAACAAAAAACACAAAAATTCGACTTCAATTTCCTCCACGCTCGCCCACTCAAGACACATCCCTACCTGTCTCATAGCGGTAAGGAATCCTTGCGGGTTGAAGAAGCCAGTGATCCAAAAAGCTTTCGGCCTCCCGTGGACGTACCAACGACGGAACTGCAGATCTCTCTCCAGGAGCTCCGTGAACCAGAACCCGAGGGTACTCGATTCCCACGACACCTGGGGAGTGAGTAATGTAAACAAGGAGTGATCATTATGCTAAGTTTTTAAATAATTGTTTCTCGTTTATACGTTTGATTATATTATTATTTTGTTTCTCGTTTATACATACCTTGCGCTTCTGTGATAAAAGAAAGAAAAAAAAAGTAAAAAAAAAAAAAAAAAAAAAAAAAAAAAAAAAATCGAAAACTTTATCCCACATAAAATTCATGAGCGTTCCAACATCAATCGTAAAAAACAAGTTGAACACTTTTGGTCAAATTCTACCATACTGCCATACCTTTCTTGTCATTATCGAACAAATATTTTGACAGGAATAATTCCCCATTGGAAAGATAATATTTTGCCTTCTCTCGCCGTCTATTTTATCATGACAACGATTATTACTCTCACCATCTCTTTCTTTTCTTAATTCAACGACTATTCCTCCAATGAAAGCAGATGATTCTGCTCTTCCTTTTATTATATCTATTCCTCCAGTCCAAAGAAAACACTGCGCTTACTTTCCGCATCTCTTTTATCAGGACCCCGACAAATTCCTTAAGAAATAAGAATATAAGAATTGGAAAAAAAGAAAAAAAAAATAAATTCTCTACCTCTTTTCATCCAATACCAAGAAAACACTGAGCTTACTTTCGCCATTTCTTTTTTTCACTACCCTGATAAAATTCTTTCAAAAAATAAAACTTACGCCATCTCTATTCCTCCAATCACATACACACAAAACGGCAACAATACCGCGCTTATCTAATCTATTTTTTTTTATCACGATCATTATAGACCCCTCCCAGGTCCCCAATAAATTCCTCAGAAAAAGATGACAATGCACTTACGCCATGTTTATTCCTCCAGTCATACACAACAAAGACAACACTGCGCTTGCCTTCTACCCTCTATCATATCACAACCCCTATAACCCCCCACTCTCCCCAAAAAAGTAAAAAAAATCCTCCAAAAACCAAACACCGTATTTACCTTTAATTTACGCATTTGCCGTATAATCATTTGTACTTTCGCCATCCCTATTCCTTCAACCACACAAAAAAATACAACAACACCGCACTTACCTTCTCCCTCTCACTTATTACAACCCCTATAAATCCCCCTCCGCCCCTTAAAAAAATAATTAAAACTAAAAAGACAAAAATAAAATTAAATAAATAAATGAACCGCATTTACCTTGCGCCACTTGTCAGGTATCCGAGCATCGTACATGGCGTCGAGCATCTCTTTCAAGGACGGACTCATGATGATGGTTCCCTCGATGGCCAAGAGGAGGTCGTTCAGCGTTTGTCGGACGACCTTCAGGACCTGGTTGTGTGATGATGAGGAAGATTGATGAATGATGAAGATGATATGAGAATGAATAATAATGGTAATAATGATATAAGCAACAATAATAATGAAGATAAGGAGGAGGAAGATGAAGAAAAAGAAGAGAAGAAAGAGGAAGAGGCAGGATGATGATGATGATGATGATGATGATGATGAGGATGAGCGAAGAAGAAAAGAGAGAGAAGACGAGGAAGCGAAGACGAGGACAGGAGACGAAGAGGGCAAAGTAAACGAGGGCAGAAAAGCAGATTTCATGAATAAAAAAGTGCAAACCTTAAACACACAGTTCTCTTAACAAAATTATTAACTACGGTCCACCATATCATCTAAATTCTCAATAAAATGTTTCATATCTATTTCCTTTCCGTTTTGGATTTCAAAGTACCTTCAACATCCGATCGAGTTCTTGTCGTAAAAAGATGTTCATGGGCAATATGGCTCCCATCCGCTGCAGGGCCTCGCGAATCTGGCGATGAAAAGAAAATGAGGTCAAGTTTAAAACAAAGTAGTTGCAATAATGGTGCTGTTGGTGATAGTAATGATGGTGGCAGTGGTGAAAACAACTACGATTGCTACTTTTCCCTATTACTACTACTGCTACTTCTACTACTTTTCTTTCCTATCTACTACTACTGCTACTACTTCTCATACGACTTTCATTTCCTATCTACTACTACTACTACTACTACTACTATTAACACTTTCATTGAATAAATATAACCACCACTACCACGGTGGCAAGGACCAATAAAACTTTAACCAGACCCAATCCCCTGCACCGCCATTACCTCATGTTGAATATAGTCTTTCGGTAGTTTGGCAATCATGTCGTTGGCAAGTTTCGAAACCACAGCCTCTCTCGTCTCTCCCCCTCTCTGCCCCCCTTCCTTGGGCTGCATGCTTAAGATGGTGTCCAAGATGCTCTTAGCGGTGTTGATCTGGTAGCTGTCGAGGTTAAGAAGGACCTTGGGTTGATTTCGGGTTCGGCTTGGATTGATTTCATGGTTGATTTGGATTGATTTCTAGGTATGTAAAATTGGATGCTTGGGGTTATGCTATGCTGTGTAGAATTATTGTGTGAAAGGATTGTGTGTAAAAGTAGGAGAAATGTAAAAGGACTACAATAAATAGGATGTTGTGTAGAAAAATGAATGGAAAAAGTTTAAAGGCCTGCACGAAAACTAGCAATTCATTCTCTCTCTCTCTCTCTCTCTCTCTCTCTCTCTCTCTCTCTCTCTCTCTCTCTCTCTCTCTCTCTCTCTCTCAAGACAAAAAAACTAATTTATCTTACGTAATGTCAGCGTTGGGATGGAGGCCAAAAACTTCCGGAGAATCGGTGATCGGAAGCAGGTTAATGAATTCCAGGTACTCCGCTTGGCATTTGCACGAAGGCAGACCGTAACCTTGGTAGAACCTTTCAAGACAAATACATTTAAGTTTCGATTAATAGTTATTACAATAATGTCTCTTGGTTAACTTTTTAAAAACTGTTTTAGAATCGCAAAAACATCTAATGTATTTTCATTTTCTTTCGTAACATTTTCAAGAAATTCCTTAGTTGATTTAGGAGACTCGAAAACACTGAATCATACTTCCACGCAAAAAATATGACCACAGAACACTTCCTTCGAATCATCCCTTAACAAAACACTAAACACACCAATTTTCTCACATTTCGCACTACTTACTTGAATTCGGAAGTCAGAAGTCGCTCGTTAAACCAGACATGGAGGAAGGTGAGTAAAAGTCTCTTGTCAAAATCCTCCGTGACTCGACCGCCATATTGAATTTCTCCAAGCATGTAACACAGGGTAACCCAAGACACGCCCTGCAAAGAAGATTGCAAGGTATGTGACGATGCAAATGCTGTTACTAGTAGATCTTATCCGAGTGCGGAAATTGTGGATAAAAAGGGCTTTAAGAAAACCGCAGCTGAGATAACTATGTCCAGCATATTTATCTTCGTTAACATATCAGTTTCCATAGCACGCATGAAGACGTATTATAAAGTTATATCCTAGCCCATTGCCTCAAACCAAATTTTCCTTAATTTTCCCCCATTTACTTTTCCTTTTTCTCGAATCTCGCATTTCCCCTTTTGTATCCAATATTTCACATCCCTCCCTCTGTCCCTCCATTTTATTCACAATATCCTCTTTTTCTTATCTGTTATCCAATGTTTCCTCTATTCCTATCCAGTATTTTCTTCCTTTCCTATCTACTCTCCCCTATGCCGTATCACTTCTTTTTCCCTATCCACTATACACTTTTTCTTATTTTCTTCCCCACCTATTCTTCCATTATCCCCTCTCCCGATCTTTTCTTTTTCCTTTCCACTATCCAGTTATCCCCCATTCCCTTTCTTTCCTATCCATTAGAATATTTGAAGTCCCCTCTTATTAATACATCATCCACTTTCCCTTCCACGAACCCTTTTCGGATCCAGGTCATCGAGGTAGATCCTATTTACTATTTCCTATTTCTTTTTCTTCCTTTCCCCTATCCCTTAAACCATTTCTTTTTTTTCCTAGAATGCCATCTTCCTGCTATTTCCTATTTGTTTTTTATTCCTATTTCCTTTACTTCTTCCCCACTATTTACCCATTATCCCCTTATCCACGCACCTTCTTCGAGTCCAAGACATCGAGGCGGTTCCTTTCTACTATCTCCTATCTTTTCTTCTTCCTATCCCGCTATCCACTTATGCCCCATTTCCTTCCTTTCTAGCATACCCTCCCTCCCCACCTATCCATCCATTAATTATCTTCTTATCCACGAACCATCTTCAGATCCAAGACATCGAGGTGGTTCCTGTCTACTATTACATACTTCTTTTTCTTCCTATCCACTATCCCCATTCTCTCATTTCTTTCCTTTCCCCTAGAATATCATCCTTACACTATTCCCTACTTCTTTCCATCCCTATCCACTCCCATTCCCCTCCCTCCTTCCCCACCTATTCTTCCATTATCCACTTATCCGCGCACCTTCTTCGGATCCATGTCGTCGAGGTGGTTCTGGATAAACTGTACAGAGGCTTGGAAGTCCGCCTGGTTGAACTCGTAGGGGATGTTCCAGCCGAGGGCGCCGTACTTCCTTCGTTCCTGGACCACCGTGTGGAGGAAGGCGGTGGCGTAGAGGAGTCGCGGCCACTGGTGGGCGTTGGAGTAGTCTAGCAGGTCCTGTAGGATTTTCGAGAGGGTGGTACATAGGGATGGTTCTTGATGAATTAAGATAGTCCCGTAGGATTTTTGAGAGGGTGATAAGTAGGGATAGTTCTGGATGGATAAAGAACGTCCTCTAGGATATTAGAGAGGAGGACACGTATGGGTGGTTCTTGATGAATAAAGAAATTTCTGCAGGATATTTGAGAGAGAATGATATATGATGAATTAAGAATTAGAAGGTGATAAGTATGGAGTTTTCTTGGTGGATAAAGAATGTCCAGTCGGATTTTCGAGAGTGGGATACGTATAGATGGATCTCGATGGATAAAGAAATTCCTGTGGGATATTCGAAAGGATGATATATGTAGACTGTTGCTCATGGATACAGAAAGTCCTGCACCTTTTTCAAGAGGGTGATACATATGGATGGTTCTTGGTGGATAAAGAAAGTCCTGTAGGATTTCGAGAGGATAAATAAGTTAATGGTTCTCGATAGATACAGAAATTCCAGTTGGATTTTTGAGAGGATTAGATATGTATATTGATAGCTAAAAACGCTTTCTTTTTCAGATATATATTTTCATAAATATAAGTATCTAAAATAATACCCAAAACTAAAAAACAAAACAAATTACAAACGTACACGAGGAAAGAGCATGGACAAACGTACACGATAGTACACCGAAAAGTACACCAAAAGCACGAACACGAATCGTTACCTGTGAGACATCTCCGTACGTCCTCTTCAGACTGGCGCGGATTCCCTGTGGAGGTTCGTTGGTGAACTTGATGGAAATCTGTAAATGAAGGAAACTCTGTGAGAATGGTGAAGGAAATCGAGGGCAGCTTTGTCGACATGGAGAATATGATGGCAGTATTTTTCCTTACATAATGATTCATTTTCTAGAGATGGCTTTGCTCCTACGTGCTAAATACACAAAACAAAGTATATATTGATTATACTGAATGTGATTACGAACTCCATCGCAAGACTGAAAAAAAAAAAAAGAAAAAAAGAGAGAGATGTACACATACCATGTACATTTATACTCCACATGTTAATTCCTACCTGCAGAAGCCCGATGGGGAACGACTGATGGAACTCTGTGGTGATCCATAACCGGAACGTCTTGTGAATGCTCTCCGACTCGGTGATCGTGTCGAGCATTTCCTGGCAGAAGTCGAGGCTGAGATGGCAGTTCTGCAGCAGGAGCCACTTCCCGGTTGTCATGGCCTCCGTCAGCAGCCTCCGTGCATGCGCCTCCTGCCCTTGGCCCATGGAGATCGACCGGATTTCTGCGCGAGGAACAAGTCACGTTAGCGGCGACGAAGGACGCTTTAGGGAAGCAGAATTCTTCGTGATGGATTTCTTTTTTACTCTTAATATCTTATCCAATGATTAGTTTTTACAGTTTATTATTACCGGAAGCATGAGTCTGAAAATGTCCAGAGAGGAAAAGACTAGTAGGTGTTGGCAAGAAGTGAACAATCATGTGGTGCGAAAAGTTAATGGAGCTGAGTAACGTCTGCATGATAAATGGATCGTTTTACCAACTGCTATTTACACTCCACATAGTTCAATACGAATTCCTTTTATTTGTTGTTAATATGCTTTATCATTGTCTGAATGGAGCTATTTTGGTGAGGGTCAGTGCGGGACGCTCAACGGTTCCCTCAAAGCCAGACCATCTCTCATACATTCATGCCAAGGAGATTGGCTCTCTCACAAGACTCTTTGCTGTGCATCGAAATACGAACGAAATCGATAATACAAAATACAATATTTTCAACCCTAGGCCCTATACAAAATACAGTATCCAGTTTACACAGAAAATTATTGGGACATATTGCATACACATGTAAATCAGAATCCTTGGGAATAAAGACCCTTTCCCTTTCCTATCTTTCTTTATCTCCTCCTGTCTCTCTCTTTTAAACCCAACAGACTGAAGACTCACCCATTTCTTTAGCCTTCGCCAAAGTCTCGATCTGAACGGACGGATCCGAACCCTGGGACAGGAAGCACACGAGGGGGATTCGGTTGTCCGATTCCTCCCACGTGGATTCGAGGTCCAGGATAACACTGTCAGCGAACTGTTCTCCGAGAGAACCTGGTGTATATAGAAAAAGGAATTATTATCTGAGAAAGAGAAGCAGACGAAGATAAAAAAAAAAAAAAATTGAAAGACATGAAGCATTCGTGAAATAAACCGTATCCTCATAGCAATCTATATAAAAAACAATGAAATGAAGGCTATCATATTTTTTTCCTTCTCACCTATAAATCAAAACATGCAAATTCCCTTTTCTAATATAAACGGACAAATAGACAAGACCAAAGTTAATCCTTTATCTTTTTCATTTTCATTTATCTATTCATCTATTTATTTATTTTACTTCGTATGTATCTGCGGGCCTGCGACAGCGTGCGATCCGGACACCAGGAGCGAAGCAGAAGCAGCTGTCGAAACATGTCGAGGGACCGCGAGTAACCACAAGGCAGCTCCTCCTGCGAATAATTGGCGAAGAGGAGTTATTGTTAAGGAATTTTGTCTCGTTTGGAAATTTTTGTTCGTACCCCCTTTTCGCGAGTAATTTTGTAGGTTTGTGATGTTAATATTACTTTATTGTGTGATTTGGGCCTCGATTTTATCTATTCCTTTTTAGAGTTACTTAAATGATATATTATCTACATTTAAATAAGCTATCAGGCCTACCCACCTATAAAACAATACTGAAAACCAAAACCAAAAGAAAGAGGAAGAGAACGAACAAACGAACAAACAAAAAAACAAAACACTAAAACAAATTAAACAAATTACTCGAAACCAAATCAAAGCAAAGAAAAAAAAGGAAAAAAAATCTTACCTCCTCCGGTTTTTCCTTCTCGAACCACTGCTTCCAGTCTCGCTCGCTCTCCGTGATCTGGCTGAGGATGTTGATAAACTGCGGGAGCTTGCTGAGCTCGACCAGGTTGAGCCACGTGATGTCGAGGATCCAGCGGAAGGGCTTGGGCTGCACTGCCTTCAGGTCCAGGGAAGCTCCGCCCTACAGAAGGAGAGGAAAGATGAAGGGAAAGGGAAAGGGAAAGGGAAAGGGGGAAGGGAGGGAAAAGGGAAAGGGGAAGGGAAGGGGAAGGGAAAGGAGAGAGTTAGATGGTGATCGAGAGGAAGAGGGGAAGAGGAGAGAGAGCGTGAGAGGGAGAGGGGAAGAGGAGAGAGAGCGTGAGAGGGAGAAGGAAAAGAGGAAAGATATGGATAAGAGGAAAAAGAAGGAAAAGGAGAAAGATGAGAAAACGGAAGAGAGGGAGAGGGAAAGGCAAAAGAAAAGGAATATGGAAAAGGAAAGGGAATAGAAAAAAAATATATATAGAGAGAAAAGAGAGAGAAAGATATCTATAGTTACATTCTAAATCTTAAAACCAACCAACGCTTTCCTCCCACCGATATACCATCGACGTCCATTTTACAAGACAACCAACCTCGACCACTCCTCCTCCATGAATCTCCTTACCTTAATAAACTTCATAAACTCATTGTGCCCGATGTGACCCGACTGCAGATCAATCTTCATCGCCAGCAGGAGCGTGAAGAGGAACTTATGCCTCTCGTAGAAGCCCCGGCAGGCATTCCGCCACACTTGTAACGTCAGGTACTTGATGATGTTGTTGATCCGCGCTTTGGACAAGTTACTTCGGTCTGATCTGGAGGTGGGTGGGAGAGGGGGGGGGAAATGGGTGGAGAGTGTCTTCTACATTTTCCTTACATTATTTTGCTTGATATTCCGTGTCTCAATGAATAGAGGGGTACTTGGCTAAAACTCCTAACTCCTATTGTGAATTTGGAGTTAGCTGAAGCTTGAAATTCATTCAGTTTAAACATTTGAAACATATATGGAGATGATTCATACATTGCGTTTATTTTTTATAAGAGCGAAACGAAACAGGAAAGGCTAGAATTAAAGCATGCACAATTCGACATAATCAAA